GTGTGAGCTTCATAAACACAGACGTTAAGGCAGAAGTGCTGCACTGAATTGCATACAATTATACAGGTGCACCTAAAAGTGGCCAGTGAGTGTATGGAGCTGTGTAGTGTCTTTCAGCTCATTGTTTTGGTTTTCCAACCCATAACTGTCATTTTTTGGCAGAGAAACACATCTAGCAGCTAGAATGCAGTATTCAGAAGCTAACAACCTAAAGCTATAATATGTCAGTGTTGTGATATCAGCTCATTTCTCAGTCACAAAGTGGCCAAAATATCCATTAATGCTCTTTTAACAAAAAATGCAGAAAGCGTGAAACAGAACAAACTTGTTTAAAGGACAGCGAAAGCAGCCAATGCTTTCAGTAAGTCTCTGTATTTGTATTTGATCTCAATCAAACCCAGAGCTTGCATTAAAGCATTTGTGCTTTGTTTACCCCAAAATATATTGTTCCCATTCCACACCGAGCCCAAGATTTACAAGTACAGTTGCTGTGAGTTTTGAAACTGAATTACGAAATGTCTGAGCTCCTATGTCAAGATGAAGCTTCGCAGGTTTAAACTCAGGCCACCTATGGAGGCGTGTGGAAACCATTTTTTTTGAAGTGAAATCAGGGGATTAATTTGGAGAGAATGTATCTGGTTGTATTGGTTATACAATATTGTATATCTATACTATACCTCACTGCTTACCAGGTGCTTTTTGGAGAAACTAAGAGCAGCTGAATGTATAGTCCTCTCATGTAGGTCTCAGGAACACAGGAAGTCATAAATGTGTTGAGCAACATGCAGATGTGCCAGACAAACGGACTCATCCCAAGCATCTATCACCAAAAGCCCTGCCAGTCTAAATAAAGGACTTGGTGGATTGAGGAGTGGTTAATTTCTCTGCATGGTTAGGGTTAGGATATGGCAGGTCTCTGATCTCATTAACAGCCCCACCCAGCGTCTGTTTAGTATGAGAATGGCATGTTCGCAGCATATCTGTTTAGTGCTGGAGATAAGGTGGGAAAACCCCACTATTCGGGTGGAGACTGGTGTTTGAGACCAGACGCTGTTTCTATAAACCAGCAGTTAAGATAAGCTACTGACAAGTGCCTGTCCTGTCTGCGCCTTCCGGAAGATTTTATTTGATGTTCTTAAACGTTAATCAAGTTGGTAATGTCCCAACAGACCTGTCCTCATACATCTGTTGTACCTAGTTGATTGACTTTACACCAGCGCCTCCATTAAATTAACTCGTGTTCCTTTAATTGTGAAATGAAACACTGCAGTTTCTCTTTGTCAACACTGTGTGGGTGCTCTAATGAATAACTGCATGATTTATGAGCCTAACCCTCCCCGCCTTGTTTCCACTGAGTATGATACATCGCCTGTTTAGAACATCCCCACATCCTGAACTGTTCCATTGACCTGGATAAATGCTCCGTCTCTCACAAGACCATAAATCTAACATTAGCTTACTGAGATTTACTGTGTGATGCTCCCTGAAGTGTGAAAAATCTGTTTTGGAGCATTTTTCAACAAATAGATTTTCAAAAAAAGCTACATATTATGCAGCTTTATTACAGTTCTAATACAGCGTTGGAGGAGGAGAGTGAACTGTAAACAGTGAGACTGATATCAGTGACATCAAATTAAAAGCTTGTAGGCTACAAACAAGTAAAAACACCTACAAAGAACCAGGAGCACCTTGACGTCTGTGCAGTGCCGGTCTTATTTCATAAACTAACATTTCCACTATGAGATAACTCAACCACCCTCACACTAAAAACAATGTTTAGTGCTAATATGCTGACAGATCCTCTCTTGCATCTGATCCAGTTCATCCCTTAACATTCATCTCAAAAACCATGTACCATGGACTACGGTGTGTTACAGCCATGCCTCTGTTTCTGAATGAGTATGTGTTTGTGTGTGGCTCCGTTTTGCTGACTCATTTTGTGCTGGTCTCTGGTGGTCTCTCTCCTGCTATAGACCACACATACACCCAGGGCCCTGAGGCTGCTCAGGTGTGGTCTCAGGCTCCCTTAGGGGCAGCAGAGGAGTGAGCATCAGCTGCCAGCAGCAGTTTGTGGAGAGAAGTGTCTTCCCTCATCTCTCAGTATCCTCGGCACCGGTGTATCACTGCCCTGAACAATACTGTCCGTGCTGTGTCATTTACTGTACTCACAGATACTTGTGTATGGAGGTTGTTATTCCAGTGTATCTGTAACACACACACTGTATATGTACCTTCCCAGAGTACCAACCACCACAAATAAGTTCTCAGCCTGTGGGGAACACCTTTAAATACACTGCATTTAGAAATCTGTCTCAATGTCTTTTTTGTCCTCTCCATTTCCATACACGAGGGCTTCAGAATATTATTATTACACCTTTAAGTATGACCTCACTAATAAACATCCTTAAATTCATACTTTTCTGACAATTCCAAAAACAAATGAGCTTGGTAAAGAAGTTATAACTGTATAATTGAATAAAACTAAATGACAAACATGTCAGCACTCACGTGTGCGTAGATGTGTTTTCCTGAAACCGGAGTGTGTGGAGATTCTGTTTTTACCTGAGAACAAATCCCAGATAAGAAAACACTGGTGAATGCCAGAATCTTTGTGAAAACTTTGTAGGTGTGTTTTAAGAGGAAACCTGCTCTTAAGAACAGTTGGTGAATGTGGCCCATTGTTCTTCCAAATCCTTTGTCATTGTTTGACAGACCCTCTGAGTAAAATCGACATGGGTGCCACAGCGCTATCACCAAACCCCTCCAGCTTTCAGAGTGAGCGATGAGTTTGTCATGGCTCTCAGATGCATGCCGCTTCAAGCTATGGTTTTTTAACCAGCATTTTCTTTGGGAGTGCCTGAATTGATCTTCACTAGTGAAATCATGTTAGTGCAAGTCAGGAGTAGGAGTGTATGCTGTGAGTCAGTGGAGAGCATGAAGCTCTGGCTGAGCTGACGAGGCTCTGCAGACCACAGTATTAAAAATCCTGATGAGTACTTTCAAATGTCTTTTTCAGCATTTTCCCCCCACTTTTCCCT